TCAGGAGCCTTGTTGGGAAGATGACAATCCCAAGGCTTCAGAAGGTGAATAAATAACCTGTCCAAGGACACACTGCTGCTCAGTGGCAGGGCTGAGATCTGCCCTTAGGTCTGTGCAGAGCTCTTGAGACCCCACGCCCTTCTTGGTCACGTGAGAGCTTTTCTCTTCACTATAACCTGTGTGCTCATGGTCCAAGGAAAATCCCCAAGACGACTGCATCTGTTCGTGGTGGGGGTCTCTCTTCCTATGTCTGCAGATCTTTCTGTGTTTTTATGTCATATATAAAATGTTGCTTCGTTCCAAAGAAAGAGAGCAAACATTTCTGAGAAGTAAAATGCCCCTTTCGCTTCCGGGATGGCATCTCGGGACAGGACTTCTCAATTGTGGGAACCCATCAAAGTTTTCAAACAAAACAGAGTCCTACCCAGACCAACCTTCCACTCCATTCACCAGCAGAATCCTAATTTGCCAGATGGCACAGTAGCCGTCTGCTTCTCATTCCTCTCACTCTCTCTTTATACACACATACGTGCACATATATACACATGATGAATATACATAGAAGTATTCCGCTTCTAAGGTGTAGCCCTAGTGATGCTCTGTCCAGTGTGAAGTGGGAATTAAATAGCCTCACCTACAAAGGAGCCTCACTAAAAATGTTCAAGCTGAATCTGAACTAGCCTTTAGAGGTAACTTCCGGTTTCTATGAAACGAATAGAGACGTGTAAACAACATCATGCGGAAACAGAAATCGGATTGTTGTGTATCCTGTGAGACAGCTGGCCTAGTATCCTCAAATAGTCAAAGTCCTGGGGGAAAAACAGGGGCAGGTGGGGTACGTTAGGGTGGAAAGACGGTTCTTGACTAAAAGAAACTAATCAGATGTGATGCCTGGGCCTTGATTGAGTCATGGTTTTAAGAAAACAGCTGTATAAAATGAGGCAAGGCTAGGGGAGTTGGAGTACGAGCGAGGCTTTGGCTGTAAGGGGGATCACTGCCCGTGCTCTTTCTTGGGTGTGCTAACCCTATTGTGGTTATGTAGGAAAATGTTCTTCTGTTTAGGAGGTGTGTGCTAGAGTATTGAGGGGTGAAGTGTCAAGACATCTGCAACTCATTTCCAGATAGTGCAGGACAGAATCGTGTGCTGGTGTGAGAGTGTATGTGGACAGATGGAACCAATGTGGGAAAGTGTGAGCCAAGGCTGAAGCTGGGGGCTGGGCGCGGGGCTCCTCATCTGTTCTTGCTAACGTCCCTCTGTGTTTGAAAATGCTTATAGTAAGGCTGAAAAGCAACCAGGGCGAGTAAGCAAGACAGTGTTCTCCAGAGCTCTTGGCCCTGGCCCCTCGGTTGTGCCTTTGTGACTGCTGCCTTTCTGCCCCCTCGGCCTTTTTGTGTGGGGTGACCTTGGCTCCTGGGTCTCTGTCCTGGCACCAGATGGCTCTGGCTTCACTGGGACCTTCATCCCTTCTGACAGACAGCAAGAAGCTGCCAGAGCCTGAACCCTGGGATCTGAGTGCCCACCCAGCTCTGCCCAGGGCGTCACCCTCCTGTTATAGTCAGGCTTTGGGAGGGGTACGTACGTCCATTCATATGCATGTGTACAGGACTGACTCCCACAGACCAGCCATTCGGCACCCCCTGCCCACTCTCTCCTGACTATGGAATGGTTGTAGGTTTCTGCAGGATTCTCATTTGTCTTTTCTTAGAAAGCTATTTGCTAAGAGGCTTACTCTGCAGACCTTTGTGTCGACCGTAGCCTCATTTTCTGAAAGTCAGAGGGCTGTCAGGTCATCCGCAGTCATCAGGGATGTGTAGTCAAATCAGTGTCCTAGAGGGAAAACTACTGAGTGACCCCTGAGAGAAGACTTTTACGTGGAATGGTCGTGAAGGCCTGCCGGGCTTTGTGAAGTGAGCATCATGGAAGCAGAACTGACAGGTGATGGCAATGGGTGCCACAGTGGGTACCAGGGCTCTATAATGAGGCTCCCTTTCCCCTTGACACAGGTGTCCTCTCGGCAGGTGCCTGCCTCTCTGTGCACATGGCCACAGTGGGACACTCCCAGAGCACTGACCACTACAGAAGCTCCCCACTGAGTTTTCACATCTTCCCTCCTCTGGCTACCCTGAGCACTGTGCTTGGAGTCCTCAGGAAGCTGTGGCTACAGACCATCGGCCATGAACGTCGGGGCTGTTCCTCGATGGTGGCAGTTACTGGGCTTGCTGGGGAGACCTCATGTCTTATCTCCCCGTTCAAGACAGGGAGGGATGAAGGCCTCATCCCGGCCCCATCTCACTGGTGTGGCCGTGAGAATCTGGTGCAGTGGTCAGGGACTGTATTAGCATAAAAGGAGAGGGAACTCTAGTATCTGAACTTGAACATGTGGTCCTTCAGTAATCCTGCCTTCAATTTGGCATGGCCCATTCTGCTAAGCCCAGATACCCCATCCTCACTTCTCAGAAGGGGCAACCTAGTTGCATTCCTGGCTCTGAGCACAGCTTGCAGGCAAGGACAGTGGACACTGGAGGCATCATTAAGTCACTTGAGAGGCTGCAGCTGAGTCATGCAGTGCTGCCAAGAGGGCAAATATTCATACTGAAACATTACCATGAGAGAAAGGGCCGGGCCAGAGGCGGGCTGGACTGAGCAGTGAGTTGGTTTTCTGGTCGCATAGGAAGGCTTTTGTGGCCCTCACCGGCTGGCTGTCCCACCTTGGGGCTCAGTGTGCTTGTGAGCCGGGGACGAGTGCAGCTCCCAGGGCTCCTGGCCTCACTGTGGCATTTTCTTGTGCTTTTTAAGAGTGACCATTTTCATGGGAAACTGTCTCCTCTGATGTTCTTTTTTTTTTACATTGGTAACTTTTCTCAAAAGGCCTTCCTGTTTGGTAATATTAGGGGAGGTGAGAATGAGTGAGTTGGGACTAGGATGCACCTCCTGGCTTCATGCTAATTTATTTTCATGAGTCGGATTGGCAGCTGGGTCAGGTGGGAAACAGGAAGTGAGACCAGGATCCTGCCCTTGAAGCCTACCAGGGACGCTGAGGCACCAGTGACCCTGTCCACCTCTAGGTAGCCTGGGCTTGATTTCTCTCTCTGTACGATGGCCACGTTTCTGTTATCTGCTGAGCACATCTGCCTGTTCCACTGTTGTCTGACCACTGGCATCCATGTTAGGGAAAAGCTTCTGAGGGCAAAAGGCTGCTGTTTGTTGAGCACGTGCTGGGCCAGGCACTGTGCAGGTGCTTGGACAGATGCCCGTGCATTCCTACGACCTTGTGAGGCCGGGCACCTTAGCGACTCTGGCTCCGCGTGTGGGAGCTGAGGACACGCTGAGCAGTCAGACGTCCACATGGCAGTCCACATGGCAGAGCGGGCGCTGCAGCCCAGACCTGCTAAACGCAGGATCCTCCAGGGACTCACCAGCGCCCACCCCCCACGCCCAGCACAGCCCGCTACACGCACCCCGGATGGCTCGGCGCAGAGGTTCCCGGCGTTGCGCTAGCTGTGTCCCCAGAGTAGCATCTTGCATGACCACAGTGACGTGAGGATTTTAGCGCATCATGTTTCGTGAGATGAGTGAATCACTCACTCTTCAGGACGGCAGCTGCAGGTAGGCACGGAGCAGGCGCTGAAGTGGGCATTTTGACGCTCTGGGCGTCCTTAGTTCCCACTTCTCTTCCCCTTTGATGGCTCCTTCCTCATCCCACTAACCACATGCAGGGCGTCTCTGTTGTTCTCATGTAGTTGATTTGACCTCGGTTACTAAGATCTACTCATTCCCAGCAGGGCCGTGTGCCCAGATGTCAGATGTGAGCTGCATGATTCTTCCTGACCTTGGGGACAGGACAGAAAATGGGGCTGCTGGCCCCCGGTTCCAGAGTTCAGGCTCCTCTGAGGGGCTTTGAGCCCTGGAGCAAAGTCCTCTGGTAATGAAGCCATTTGTCCTTGGGAGCAGAATGAGTCCTCTGTGAAATCAGAAACAATGGGCATGTTGAGCTCCAGACCTGGGGTGAATGGAGGCTTAGGCAGAGGCACATGGGATGAACTGGATGACTCAAGGGGTGCATTCTTCGGGGACAAGTTTCTGTTGTCAACAAGTCAACTCACTTATAATGATACTCAGTTAACGGTCACTAACACCCGTTTTGAGTAATTTTCCCAAGCAATCCATGAGCTCTTCTTTGAGCTTTATTTTTTTCTTTGAATCTTAATTTGTGTAAAACTCACCCTGTGAAAAATAGGTTTGGGTGGCAGTGTTCTGTTTATGCTTTTTATGGGCTTGCTTCCTTTCACATTCTCATTTACCTACGAAGCACACACTCACTCATGCTTAGCGTCTTTGCTGGTAATTTGGTTTCCAGGCAATAAAAGTGGGAGTTGTTACTCACTCACTGTTCAGCAAAAGCTTTGGGCGCAAGTTTTTTGAGAACTTAGTTTCTTTAGTACCAAACAGCAGCCAGAGTCTTGCAGACTTTAAAAAATGTAGCCAAACCCACAGACCTCCTGCTCCCCGTGCTGTTTGGCTTTTTCTGACACACAAAGAGGGAAAAAGAGCGTCCTGAGAGTGCAGCAGGCCGGGCAGGGCACCTGGCTGGGAGAGGAACCCAGCTGGCTTCCTTGCTTCCGTCA